ATTCCTGCTTTTTGTATATGAGTAGGTAGAGAGATTATTACTTGGCTTTTTTTGAACAGCTGCTGATGCCATTGCTTGAGACTTTCAAATGAGTCTTTGAGAAATAGTAGCTGGACTTTCTCTACTCCTTGGAATCAGTGTCCAAGTTGACTCAGTCAGTGCCTCCAGTCACGAAGATCATGCTGTCTTTATTGTAATTGAAAATTTCTGTAGGTGAGAAAGAAATGATTCCTACCATGTGTCTAAAAGGCCCTTATGACCTATAGAGCCTACCTTCATACATAGTCTCTTAACAGAACTTTTGTGTGTTGAACTAATAAATCTTTCCAAAATGGACCTCTACCCAGTTTTTTTGCTAACCTCAAATATGTGTCCTGCTTTCTTCACCAGGACTACATTTACTCTGATGCAAGAGACAGGCAGTTCCTCCACTACTTCTACCGGAAATGCAAAAAGCAGCATTTTAATGTGGACCGATACAACAAGCTCAAAGAAGACATAGCAGAGGTATTTACATACAGTCCTTAAATAATGAGGTAGCCTCTGGCTTAAGACTTTTTCAGTAAACTCTCAGCTAACAGAAAATTGACCTTAAGGTTTGCTACTTACATTAAATTGACCTTAAGGTTTGCTACTTACATTGAAAACAGTGTATTACTTGTCAGTTGTTTAAATGACCATACAGTATTTGCTACTGACATAAAAACTACTTCATCAAAAAGGGAGACCTTATGAATTTGATTTAAAACAAGTCAGTTTATGACTTGTAAACTGGTAAGTCAGTTTAATTTAAAACAAGCCCTGCACACCCGTTTCTTGCGTATTCTACTGCGTTGCATTTTTGGCCATTTCAATAGAAAGCTGCATTGCCTTTGGAGACAGTATGTTTGCTGCACTGCTGTGGTAACCAATCCTCCTCCCTTCCGTGGAAAGAGAATGTCTTGCAGAGTTCAGGATTTGACATCTTAATCCTTTCTTGAAGTAAAAGCTTAGATTTACGGAATACAGGCAACTGGATGGAAAAGGTGATGTGTATGCTTAGGAGAAACTTTGTGGTCTCTCGCTCCCCATTTCTTATCCCCCCTCCCCCCCACCCCATCCCCTCTCACCAGCCCTTTGCTCAATGTCTCATAGAAGAAAATTGAAACCACCCATAATTTTAGTTCAAGTTCAGATATCATTTAGTTCAAGTATCATTTCATGAGCCACACTTGACATAAGGCTAGAGTTTGATACTTTTTCAGTAGCCCGAGAGTATGAATACTGTGATTTTAATTTCAGGAAAATAATACTTTGGGGTGTGGGTGACTGGTTGGATGGGCAGGGCAGATGCTTCTCTCTGGAGACTGGCTGAATGACCTGAGCAGGTCTGTTAATGTTCAGCACCTTCCATTTGATTAGTTTGTTTTCTTGCGCAAGACCAATGCTTTCTGAGAAAGACACAGGATGTGTGAAAGAGAAGGAGAAAAGGGAGGGCTGCAGAAGGATGAACTCTCACTCTCTCTTGCACTGGCAGGCAGAAGAATCGCTGAGGCGCCTGCGCCAAACTCTGCAACTGAAGCTCCCGTTCCAGGAAATCAAGGACAAGGACTGACTTCGGTTTTGTATATATTAGAATTGCTCTTTCAAAGCTGATACGAACACTTAGTTGTTCTACAGAAACTGGATATTTTTGACCACTATAGTTTTAAAAGTTGCAATAAATACGTATAAAAATTATGCAGTTGCTTGATGGTTTGTTTGGTTTAGGTTTTTTTTTGGAGGGTTTTGGAGTTTTTTGGTTTTGTTTTTTAAACCCTATGAAGAAGCTGCTGAAGTTCTTCAGGATATTTGTCAAATCTCATTACTAAAATGGAAGCATTCTGCCTGTTAGTCAAATGACAGGGGTGTTTTATAGAACAAGGGCTGTAGTAGCTCGTAAAATAATTAACTTCTTCATTAAGGATTTTTTCCCTGAAATTACTGTTTTCTCTTCCCTAGGTCTGAGCTTTGACTCTGTTGCTGTAACACCACTGATGAGGTTAGGCTTGCATCACAAGTAAGCTTTTTTTTAGTAAACATTGCTGGAAAAATAAGATCAAACTCATTTACTATAAAATAATTTGTTTCACTGTTGTATTTTATTGAAAGAATTTATAAGAAAATCAGACATACATGATTTATACAAAGTTTAAAGCCATAGTAAGATTTTACATCTGTGACTCAGAACATAGTATATAGAAAGATTTAACTAAAGCAGAGCCAGTAAATCAATCATTTTATACTCAGGAAAGTGGATTAAGACACTTTTCTCAGCTTGAGTTCTCCACTGTCCCCCAGAGTTAAGTATATGTACCAATAATGTAAAAAATAATAGAAGTATTCGCTTCTAGTCAGTATCATTGAGCTACTGCTGATGCTGCAGTAGTAACAACCCTATGGTGAAATGTCCTACGGTGACAAATGCACCATCGCTTTTATGTACACAATGACAGAGTATGGCTGATCTCCTCTGAGGCCAGGAGGAGGAAAAAGCTGATACAATACCAAGGCCTTTCGTATCAAAGTTTGCATATACTGTACTTTGCAGAGCTGCCTAGAGCTGCCTAGAAGTTGTAAGTAAGCCTGGAACCTTGAAATTGTCTGCTTTAGCTTTAGAGATATGTGCAAGATGAGGGTGCCCAAAGTCACAGTAAGCAAGCAGTACATGGTCTCACTTAACTACTGCTTGCTTTTCTCCTGAGGATACAAAGCACCAGTAAGCTATAATTGTGCCCTAAACATACATGATGTGCAAGCAAAAAGCAGCCTTCTATCTGTATTAATGCTACCATTGTACTCAAGGAATTTAAGTTCCTCTTTAGTGTTGAGAGAAAAATAAAAAAATGTCTAAAAAGCTCAATAAATCCACAGAAATTGGAAATAAATTGGAAGGTGGATACAGATTTCGAAAGATGCTTACATATTCCCTGTAAACTGTGCTCTTGGAGCAAGTTAATGCAACATTTGAAATGTTTTGAAAAATATTAAAATGTGCCATAGTTAGACACCAAAAAGCTTCGAAGGAAAAAAGTAATCTAGAGTACCAGTTCCTATAAAATCTGAGCACCTCCTAATAGTTTTGCACCAGTCAACTTTTCCCAAATTCCCTGAGATGAACAGAGCTGTAAAACTAGCTTTAAAATTGCTTTAAGATTTTGGAGGCTATTATGTATACAAACTATAACGTTTGATCCCAGTGTTTTTGCTGACAATCCTGTAGAATATTAGTCTCTTGAACCAAGATGGTGTGTTTTTCACCTCTGCAGTGAGTACTAGATAATGGTTGTCATTGTTCAGTAACAATCTACTTAGATTTTGGATGAAAATACAATTTTTTAGTTAACATTGAGGCAAAACAAGGAATCTGTTTTTTTCCTATAGCATTAATATCTCTGCACATATCCACTTTGCGATAAGATACTTTCCTGTTAACGAGAGTAAGAAGTTCTGTGAACTCCAAGGAGGAGCCATGCTTCCTAAGTGCCTCGCACAAATCTTGAATGTACCAGGAGCCATTTACAGTTTCACGATGAGAAAAGTAACCTGTTGTAGAACAGGAACATAAAAATATATCCAAATGTAAATAGTGACGCCACTTGAAAAATGTTTTGAGAATTACTGCTTGCTAGCTGCATCCGTAAGGGATCACTAATGGGTGTATATCTTACTTTGCCAATTATGTAATTTCACTGGAAACTGTAGATCAGAAACGGCTTTGAGATCACTTGCAGTGCTCAGCCAACATGAATATGGTTCAGGGACTGATAGCTTACAGGACTGCATCTGCACATTACAAGAACATGGAGCTAAGAACAAGATACATGGAGGAACAGAGGACAGCCATGTAGTGCAGGCAAATTTATAAGCCACCAGCATCCTACAGTCCTGGAAAAGAAGGGAATGCTTGCTGCCAGCAGACAGCTCAGCAGCAAGATTACTGAGAATGTTTCTTCTTAGCAAATTATCTGCAACCTTGATAGTTTATTTTCACTTTTTCTTTAACAAACATATGAGGCTCTTTCCCAGACAAGATGTCACTTACCAGACGTGTAAAACAGATGACTTAGAACTGTGCTCATTATTTTGACTGCAAAATTAATAATATTCAAGCTTGTTATGGTGAAGTATCAGACATTAAATGTAAAATATTAGAACTTACCTTGTGCCACAGAGTAGCACATGATAAAGTCAGCACCAGCAGGCAGTGTATAGATACCAGCTGCATCCACTTCAGTCTCATTGACAATGGATTGATCACTACCATCTAGTGAATCCTGAACAATAACTGGGTCATCATGTTTATCACCACGACATGCCTGTTGGTGAGAAGTATTGTTATGCTTTCACCTCTTCCCAGCTCACCTATGTTAATATGATACTTCTGACACTAACCAGGCAGGACTTCAGTTCTGTTAGGTGTTCCACATTACCGTGAGTCTGAATTCATAAAGACCCATTTGCTTCTCTCTTAGTTAAAACATTGGTGATGAAGCCCAGAAAAAGCTCTGAGATGATCACAGAATCACTGTGATTGGAAGGGATCTCTTGACGCTCTTGAGATCACCTTGTCCAACCTGCCAGGCTCAAGCTAGAGTAAGTTGTCCAGGACTATGTTCAGTCAGCTTTCAAGTATCTTCGAAGAGGGAGACTCTGCAGCTGAGTGACCTCTTCCAGTGTTTGACCACTCTCAGATTAAAAAAGTGTTTTCCCGTGTTGAGATGGAATTTCATGTGTTTTGATTTGTGCCTCTTTATTCCCTTCCCCCAGTTGTTTATAACATTGATAAGATTTTCCCTGAGCAGCCACATCCAAGCTGAACAGCCCCAGCTCTCTCAGCCTTTCCTCATATGAGAGATGCTCCAGTCCCTCAGTCATCTTTATGGCCCTTTGCAGGACTCACTCAGGGGAACGCAAAACTGGACACGGTACTTCAGACGCAGCTCGCCAGTAGCTGAGTAGAGAAGAATAATCAGCTCCCTCAGACCTGCTGGCAAGGCAGCGCTGAATAAAGTACTACAGTTACAATCTGCTGAAGGCCAGGTTCTCCCACAAGTTCGCTAGTTTTAATCTGAATAAAGATGGGATAAAGCCCTGTGTAACCTGGTTTGACCCCAGTACTGACTCTGCTTTGAACAGGAGGCTGGACCAGAGACCCTGGAGGTCCCTTCCAACTTGCATTATTCTGTGAACAAAGGAGTGAAACAGGAGGTTACATATGGGCTTTATTTGACTACTTAGCACAAACTATTTCTGAGACTATAAAGCCTTAAATTGATAGAGATGCCAAGTCTTGGTCATGGATAAAAAAAAAAAAAAACCAGAAGAAAAAACTGAAGAAGAAAACCCAACCAACTAAAAAACCATCTAAACCCCAAAACAAAAAATAACACACATAAAAAAAAATCCAAACCCTAACAGCAGCACCAAAATCAACCAACCAAAAAACTCACAAACCCCAGTTTTTATAAGGATCAAGTAAAGGGACTTGTGAAGAAAGTTACGGTAGGGAGGCTTGATAGTGTTCTACAGTCTAGCCTACTCAGTAGGGCCCAATAGGGACTATGAGCCATCAGTCCTACTGTGAACAGTAGGAACTGAGGCTGTGGACAACTTTCTCAAAACAATACTCTCTGCCATTAAATACAAACCGACAGTCAATCTGACATGGGCTTAATTTGAGTTGCTCTTCATAAGATTAATTCTTATTAAATACAGCTAGAATCATAATAATAACACTCGTACATAAAGGTTGGTTTGTTGTTTTTTTCTTGATGAGAAGAATCCTTGTCTTAAATTCTTTAAGGAACAGTTTTCCGTAACTTCTTTCCTCAAAATGCAAAAACTTTCCCTTGTAGAAAGACTGTGTTAGGAAAACCAACTCCTGTATTACAAGAAGACATAGCTCAGTGTTCACTGAATGCAGAAACAAACATCTTACCTGAATGATAAATATCTTTGGTTTTCCTACCAGACTCTGGCACTTGTCTCCTCTGAACATGTCTGTGATTGTCTCAATTTTGATGTAGGTATCGTATGCATAAACATGATCATTCTCACCATGACTCAGGAACACGCAAACAAAACAGTCAGCATTACTGTGGTCATCCTTGGAGGCTGAAACAGTCAAGTGTTGTTTAGATGACTAAACAGTGATCTTTAGGCTTAAAAAACATTGTACATCTGTATCATATCATTTAATCTCTGACTAGTCGTGTTTCAAATAAACCCTATTTTCAGATGGTGTAATACTGCAAAGATTTTGGAGGTGCAATGATTTAACATGGCTGAAGGTAAGAGCCACTAAATGTAGGAACAATAATGTTATGCAGTCACTTTCTTTCAGCTCTTGGCAACTTCATTAGTTCTCTCTACAGAAGCTTCACTTACCTTGCAATAAAATAATCTGAAGCCTAACCCTTAAGTCCTAATGTTAAACAACTTCCTTCTGCACAAAAAATATTTTAAGTTGGATGAACAGAGAGAATGCAAGAAAAGATATCTGGAAATTCTGCTACAAATAGTTAGATGTAACAAATGTGTAGTCTCCTACCTTCAGAAATTTTCTGCAGCACATCTTCTGCTTTCAGATCATCAAAATGCCTGACTTCAAACCCAAGGTCTGTCAAACTATTGTTAAAACACATCAGTATTAGCAACATTCTTGCTCAAATTATACGTCAGTTACTACCAACTCAGATGTTTTCCCTGCAGGAGAATGAATATTCCCATTTATGCATTATTTACAAGAGCAACTACTAAAGTTGAACTCAAACCAGTGTCAAGTGCAGGTGTTAACATCTAAAGTTATTACAAACAGTTTATCCTCAGAGAGCTCTGGATTCACTGAAATCACAGAACTTGTGCTAGCAGTTTCTGTGACTTAAAGCAATGTGCATTGAAGCCTTCTTATTACAGCTTTCTTTGCCAAGGTTGCATAGGTGCGTCTGTCTGCAAAATCTTTTCTTCTATACTTAAGTGTAAGGTATGGGTAACTGCTTTTATGACGACAATTTCTGAAGTTTAGCTTTTTAAGCTTTAGTAGAGAAACCAAGTTTTTTACCTGCGTTTTAAGTTGTTTCTGTCTGCAAGAGTCCCACGTCTGTCTGTCAGCTTTAAATGCCAAAAAAAGTGCTCATGATTGAAGATTAATGCAATTCCTCTTCTTTGATGGTTCATTTTGTATTGCACTGCAGGATCAAAGGTTTGTCTGTTGCCAGAGATGGAAAACATTCTTGATAAATGAGTTAATAGCTAATTGAACTCTCCTCCTGTATTCCTGCTAGCTGAGATCTTTTAATTGACTGAAGACCTGGAGAATCCATTTTTAGAAGACAAGACTTCAAAATGTGTAATATTTAGGAAGAGCCTAAATTGCTAGGTATTTTTGAAAATCTTGGGCTTATTAAGCAATTCAGCAAAAACAAGTGTTGGCTGTGTACTAGACTCCGTCAGGTAGCTGAACAGTTTCTCTACAATGTATTTGTATTTTCTCTTGTCAGGAGGCTGTCTCATTAGTAACAATACAGGGTGTACAAGAGTGCACTTTAGACTCAGCTTCAATTCTCCATATTATGTCTTTAGCTAAATATTATTTTAACATAATTGGATAGTGCTTATATGCTTAATTGGGATTGTAGCGGCTTCAAGTTCTTCTAACTAAACCAAGTGCTGCAGTATAAGCAATAAACTAGTGATGAGGTGGTAAGCATAGTGTATCTTGCAAAAGGAAAAGAAATGAAAGAAAACTAAATCAAAGCTATGCATCCAAGTTTTTAGCAACCAGCTAGCAAAATCCTAAACGTAAAGGACAGTGTTGTTCTGAAGGACAGAACAAATGACCTACCCAGCTTCTAAGTAAAGGGCTTTATCATGGTAACAAATGTATGGAGCACCTGTGATATTTGGAGTTGCATTCAGCAATTAGATTGCTTTGTGAGCGAAATGCAACATAGGAATCTGTGATAGCACACTTACAGACTGTGCACTTGGACCCAGAAGGTTGTTTCCAAGTGTTGGCATGGCTGTATTTTGAGAGACAAAGCAGACAATCTTACTGCTTTTGTAGACAGGTATTGCTGCAGAAAACAGAAACTACAACACTCTGGCAACAGACAAGGCCAGTGTTACAGCTACATAGAATGACAGTCCAGGTCATGCTGCCCTAGGACTGGCTCTAGGGAGAGCTGTCCTTTTTGGCATGTAACTGGTTTGTATTTTTTTCTGCTATGGAATGTTCAGTTTTGGTGCAACTGGTGGAAGAAGTTGCTTAGAGTATTTGCCTGCAAGCATTACTTAAAGATCCTAGTTTCATCAGCAAAACGTTTGGTTGGTTTTTTTTTCACTATGAAATGACCAAAGTTATCCTTAAACTACTTCTGCTTCTCCACTTCATTATGAGTGCCCCTTCCTAAAACATCTTTTTGTAACATCTGAGAATTCGAACAGGTAACAGGAATTCTGGATGACTCTTATAGATTCTAGGGGTTTGTAGAACATTGGCTGAATAACCAATAAGAAAAGTTAAGTGGGGTGCTTTATCACACTCTCCCCAGTTAGAGTATTTACCATGATGAAATGCAAAGATTATCACCATTAGCCATGTAATTATGAATAGTATTTCACCTGTACCAGAGTTTATATGAATTTTGGCAATTATCTTCCTTAGGATATAGCTAGATGTAGGGCTAATAGGGACTTTGGACAGACAGGTCCCTGGATCCTGTGAATGCTCATTAAAGGGTGGTTCCCTAAATAGCTCTTCCTCTGCTCAGCTGTATTCACTGAGCAGGTGAAGCAAAGGAAGTTACTGGGCAGGTAGTTAAGTTTTCTAGGGCTATATGATGTCATAAGGTGGAAAAGAAAAATTCATGGAATCACTATCCTGTGGTCCCTCTACCCTCCTTCTAGAGGAATATATTCATGTGCTACAATCTATCACTTAGTCTGCCCAATTATTCCTTAGATTATGATGGTACTTTTGCCACAGTCTCTGCACATTACCTAACATAAAAGGAGCCCAATCATAGGAGTCCATTCTGCATGCCTTCATGATAAGAAGAGTGGTTCTACATCTGGTGTAGCTAAAACTAGAAACATGTTCTGTAAGTGAGTGGAGATGAGTTGAATAATTTAGTCATCCTGCAGAAAACCCTGCACTGACCTCAATGCCATGGACCATCTCCTTGTCACTGCCATCAGAACTTTACCTTCTATCAAGTGCATCTACTTCTGTGAGGTTCTGATTTCCATCTGTTAGAGAGATCAAAAAGAGATTTAGCCACTAAATCATTCATTAAAAAGAAACAATTTGAACTTGTGCATCCAGCCTTAAAGTTTAGCTGTTAATGTCACCCAAAAGCTCATTCACACATGAGGTGAGTAGGCATACAGTTAAACGGCTTCATTAGCTTTTGGAGGCTCTTAAAGTCCTGAATTTTAGGTGGTCAAGACATGCATATTTCATATCTGTCTGTGTATCTGTATCTATATATCTGAATATATATATACATATTATATATATCTGAATATGTATCTATATGTATATGTATCTATACATACCTGAATATCTATATATCTGAATATGTATCTATACATATTCAGAGATCATGATTTTGTATAACTAGCTGGCTGTATTTATCCCATGAGAGGGGCAGAGAGAGTGAGCAATTGTGTGGAATTTAGTTGCCAGCTGGGGTTAAACCACAGCAACACTGAAGGTTAGCACTAAGACAAAGGTTTTGGATTTTAGAAGAGCAAACATCAGCTTCCTTAGAGCTCAGCTGGGACGGATTCTGTGGGAAGCTTCCATAGAAGATAAAGAACATAGCGAATGCTGGGAGATTTTCAAGAATGCTCTGCTGGAAGCACAAAATCAGTTCAAACCCTTTAAAGGTAAGGAAAGCAGGCAGAGCAAGAGACCACCATGGCTTAACTGTGAGCTTCTGAGTCTGCTCAAGACTGAAAAGACAAGCCTACCAGAAATGGAAAAGCAGATGAATGCCCCTTGATGCCAGAGGGTACAGAGATGCAGTTAGAAGAACAGAAGTTCATATCAAGTTGAAATTGGCTAGAGATGTCAAAAATTGCAAGAAAGGATTCTTCAGGTATATAAACAACAAGCAGAAACAGAAGGAATATGCTGTCCTGCTGTTAAGCAGGAGAGGTGAATAAGTCACCAGTAACACCAAAAAGGCAGAGATTCTCAACTTGTTCAACTCTGTCTTTACCAGCACTATTGAGCCCCAGGTCTTGGAAATAAAAATCCATATTGATGCAAACACACATTTGCCATCAGTGAAGAAGAGTTGGTATGTGAACTATTACAAGAGCTTGACCCCAACAAATTGATGGGCCCTCACAATATTTACACAAGGGTGTTTGGTGTCCCTGCGCATGTCAGAGGGGTTGGAACTAGATGATCTTAAGGTCCTTTCCAACCCAAACCATTCTATGATTTAAACAGTGTCTAACTCAGTATTTGTGATTTTACATAATCTGAAAATACACTGGTGTTTCTTTTATTTCAGTAATGCTGCTAATGCAAAGCTGAGCAGTCTCAGAGGTTGGATGCAGCATGTGAGTCATAGTAGGTAGGGTAACAGTACGTATAGCTCATAACAACTGAGAAGATGCAAGATTTGTACCTTTTCTTCTGCTAAACTAGATAGACATAAGTATCTCCAGTAACAGAATGCACATAAAGGTAACACTGTGGGAACAACCAGGAACATGCACATCTTGGGAGCATGCAGAACTAAAGACTTGCAGCTGGCGGGCCAAAATACTTAGTCCTTTTCCTTAAGCTTCTCAATGGGCTATAAAATCACAGCTCCTCCTCCTACTGGTGAAGACTAACTACTACATTATGTTTATATATATTGTATACCACATTATGTTTTACTATTTTATACATCATTTTACTGTGTCGTGGTTTAAGCCCAGCCAGCAACTTGGAACCACGCAGCCGCTCGCTCACTCCCCCCCTTTTCCTTCCTCCCCCCGCTCCCGGAGGGATGGGGAGGAGAATCGGAGGAATGTAACTCCCACGGGTTGAGATAACAGCTCTCCAGTAACTAAGGTATAATACAAACCACTACTGCTACCAATAATAATGATAAGAGGAATAACAAGGGAAAAGGACACAACCGCTCACCACCCACCAACCGATACCCAGCCCGACCCGAGCAGAGATCTGGGCCTTCCGGGTAACTCCCCCCAGTTTATATACTGGGCATGACGTGCTGTGGTATGGAATAGCCCTTTGGCCAGTTTGGGTCAGGTGTCCTGCCTCTGCTTCCTCCTGGCTTCCCCTCCTCTCTGGCAAAGCATGAGACTGAGAAAGTCCTTGGTCAGAGTAAACATTACTGAGCAACAACTAAAAACATCGGTGTTATCAGCATTGTTCCCAGACTGAAAGTCAAAAACACAGCACTGCACCAGCTACTAAGAAGGAGAAAAAATGACTGCTGTAGCTGAACCCAGGACATACTGTTATATACTATATTGTACCTGTGGTGGTTACTGTAGGTCTGCTATCCAACTGGACATGGCCTGCAATTGTAAGAGAAGATAGGTCACATATACACACATTTTACAAACTACTTGGTACGTACACAATACTATCTTTTCGCATCTTTTCATCGCATCTGACTAAAGCCTTTTACAAAGGAAACAGACATAGCTATGTATTGATAGAGGAGAAAAGTTCATCAAGATACTAAACTTGCAGAAATCTACACTTTGCCTTAGAAGCTTTTATGTTGAACATGACAGCACAGGAGGGTAGTGATGTGGCTTAGAGGAAGCCACATGCTTCTAAGTGTTAGTATTTACATGTACACAACCCTGGCAAATATGGATAGTGCTAGTAACCCAAACGCACAAAAAAGGTTATTTCAATTTGTTTGAAACATAATGTGCAAGTCAGACTAATGATACAAGTGCTGGAAAATGAGTGTAGATAGAACACAGGAACACCACCTGAGCTTGTGACTGTTACCAGGAAGCCAGAGCTCTTTAAGAGCATGTTTGTTTAAATTCACAGTGTACTTTTGCTTGTGTACCCGAGATCTGGCTGATGCTTTTGCCTTAACAGGACAACAGACCATAAAAATGTTAGTCAACAAACTTTTAGACAGAAAATGCTGTCATGTAGACACAAGAAGAACAGGATTCCTGGGCCACAAGAAACTAGGAAAGATAGTTTTCCTGTTCTAATCCTGTTTAGTTAGTTCCCACTCTTTAGCTTTCCACTGCCACTGTCATATTGCAGTTTCATTCAAGTAAACTCTACTTGACATTATGACTTACAAAAAGCTTTCTTCTTGCCTTACACAGGCTTGTTCTAAAACCTGATTGCTCGCAACAGGATTATTTATTTGTCTTCAACCTCATGAAGACGGCTTGTTTCAAAGGAATCAAAGGTCAGGTATGCACTGGGTTACAGTGGGATCTGATAGCATCCTTCCCAGGTTGTAATCTCAATAGGTTTACCATTTTGGCACAGCATTTAGAAAATACTAGTAACCAAATGGCACCAAAAAACGCGTATGACCCTGACTGCACCCTGGGGGTCCAAACCTACGCAGTGTTGCTTCTCCTCTCCTGTCAACACAGCGGCGTTCTCCTTGGTCACCGCCGCTTCTCGGGTTTATGACGCCAACTGTTTTCCTCATCGCTGACCAAGCGACCCCGCTTCCCGCTCACTGCTGTGCCGGGGACGGGAGGGAAAGGACACGCGGGACCTTCCCCTGAGCCGGGGAGCGCTGGATTTTACACGCGAGTCTACTTCCGCGTTGGCCGCCGCC